GCGCGGGGATCGCGGACACGGGTGAAAGGCAGCAGCCGGTTTGCCCACGGAGCGGGGCTGCAAGGGAGCAGGGATGTTTCTGGGATGTTTTGCTGAAAGGGCTCCTCGGTGCGTTTTTTAAATCCTCTGCATCACTTGAAATAGAGAGCGAGAAACTTTGCTACCAACAGGACCTGTGGTGTTTTCCACCGGACCTCTCCCGAGCTGCTCCGGGCTCCTTCCTTTCCCGAAAGGGGACGTTGTGAACTACCTTGGGACTTAAATCACCATCAAGCGTTTCAATTTTTAATATGACAACATTCTACACTTTGGCTGCAAAAGCAATTATTGCGGCTTGTACAACAGTAATTAGCAGGTCTTTGCTGATGTAAGGAAAGTCCTCATTAGGACAAGGAAATACTTTTTGTGCATTCACCCAAGGGTTGGTTGTGTTTTGTTGTGCGTTTTGGTTTTTTCCTTCTGAAGGTTAATTTTGACCATTTAAAGGGAAAATAGCTTTTACTTTACATGGGATATTGACTTTCTGTGAACTTCACCAAATAACACATTTACTGTAGGTTTTGTCTCAGTGCTCCCAGTGTCACTCAGGGTAGGACAAATACCGCGACTGCAAAGTGTAAAGCTAACATTTACTGAAATGAAAATATCCAGAGGGTTTAGAATGAGCAGTGAGATCCACATTAGCTAATTTTTTTAAGTCGGGATATATAGCAAACTATGATCAGACGTTAATAGTTAATATCATAAGCTCTAGTATATTCATCTTTGGGGAATCCTAAAAAGAGAAATCAAATACAATGGGTTACAGTAATTAATTTATAAATCGTTTCACTGTGGGAATAAGGGGTTACTTTATTGCTTTCTCGAGATAGGCAGTTCAGTCAATTAAGGAATTCTGCCTATTTCTTGCATTTGAAGCCGGAGAAAACTACGGGAGACAAGTAAATGTGTATATATATGTGCCTCCCTTGCTTTATTGAGCATCTCGGGCCATAAACGTAGGGCTACAGCATGGTCGTGTCGCCAATGAACTCGCTCCTCAAAGCCTGCGAGTTTATTGCCATCAGTATTCATGAGGCTGGGCGTACCCACGAGGAATAGAAACAACAGCGACCATTAAAATAAAATCTATTACCAGGCCCGCGCGATTCTGAGCCCGGCTCAAGCCGTCCGCCCGGGGAGCTGGCAGTGTGTGGCGGGGACAGGGGAGCTGTCACCCGGGGCTGGTGACAAGGGGTGCGGGCTCCCGGCGGGCCCGGGGAGCCCCCTCGGGCAGCAGCCCCTGCGCTCGGTGCGGCCAAGCAAGCAGCAGGGCAGCGCCGGCACCGGCTGCTGCAGCGCCTCGGCAGCGGGAGTCACGGTCAGGCGGCAATTTATAGTGATGTTTTAGAAGTTAGCCTAAACTTAGTTAAAAAAAAAAAAAGTCCTGAGAAGAAAAGTTTTTCCTCCGGGACTTGTAAAGTGACATTCCAAACGGTGCTCCACGAAAACCCCCCTTGTCCTTCTTCTCCCCTCTCCTGAATGATCAGACTTGGCTGCACCTCCCTAAGGAGGCGGCTGCCCCCGGGGAGTAGCGGGGAGCGGGCGGGGCAGCAGCAGCAGCAGCAGCCGCCCCAGGAGCAGCAGCAGCAGCATCCGCCTCCTCCCCGGGGTCGGGAGAGGCTTCTCTCCCCCGCCCGCCGCCACCCCCGTCCCTCGGGCGGCCGCCACCCGGGCGGATTCAGCGATGGAGCGAGGAGCCCCGGACAAGGGGTGTGTCTCCAGCCGGGCCGGACTGCCTCCCCCCGAGGAGAATCCAGTAGGATGCATATCGCAAGCTGCCGGGACGGCGCGCCCGCTCCCATCCCAGGGGCCAGAAGACACCTCGGAGGTGGGACCCTTAGAACTCCTACAGGTCCTCACCTCCTCAGCCTCCGGCTAGCGCTGGGGGTGGAGGTGGGAGAAAGGCTGAATTCTCTGCCTTTCTGGCCTTAAAAAATAAGCCAGTGAACAGAAGGGGTCGTTTGAAAAGTGCTAGTGGGGGTTGATGTCCTCCAGCCGAGGACAAGGTCTCGCCCAGCAGCATCTGCCGTAGCCATAGTACGTTCCCGTTCCTCTGGTTCGGAACTGAACCCATTCCCTGCCCTGGCTGTCTGCAGTCCCTGCCTGCCCTCGCTGCCCCGCCCCAGAAGTTAAAGACCCGGGCGCAGAGGCAAAGCGAGTGCCCGGTGGTACTTGGGCAGGAAGGCAGTCCCCGCTTAGCCTGGAAACCCTCCCCTGGCCGCCTGTGCCACCGATCGCACAAATTTCCCTTCTCGCACAGTTTTCCCTTCTCTCAGCCTTTTCCTTCGGGAAACCTGATGAACTTGCTCTGACAGCAGCCTGGAGAGTGGGGTTCGCCAGAGGCACACTGATAAGCGCCCACGCATCCCAAACGGAACAGCATCCCTCGCGTTCCTCCACGGGACGAGACGTGATCCCGGTAATCCGCCCCCCTGCCCCGCCGAGCTCGGCCCAGGAGCACCGCGGCTCTGGGCTGGACCTCGCCATGGTCGGGAACGGCAGGGCAGCCTGCTCGGGCCTTGCTCCTGGAGCTGGGCGCTTTTCAGCAGCTTTGGACAAAAACCCTGATGTCTACCGCTTCCTTACTCCCCATCCCTTTCCCAGGAGCGTTTTCCTTTACAATGGATGCTAGCTGAGAAGTGGCTAGAAAAACTCATGGCTTTTTTAAAAAAGTCGATAAATACACACAAAGTATGGTTTGTGGATTCTGATACAATGATTTCGATAAATAAGGAGAGCCCAATCCCAGTTTCAAGTTCACCCCCTTCAGAGATGAAGTTGCATTTCGCTACCCCAGGGGACACGGTAATGGATGGAGACCTGGCTCCCTCTCGCACAAGTAATTGGCAGACGTTCTCTCCTTCCTCCTGGACTGGCTGGGGAGCTTGGGAAAGGCTTATGAAGACAAATGTGTCTTCACTTGGGGTTGTGGTGTGCGCTGTTGTGAGCGCCTGTGTGTTTTCCTGCGTGACCTTTCGGCTGTGTTTATGCGCATAAATAAGAGGCGCTCAGGAGAAACGGAACAATTCCGATGCACTCCCTCCCAGGCTGTCACATCCCTGATCCAAACCCCTCGCTGCCTCTCCCCGCTTGCCTGCAGCCCTGCTGAAACAAGCAAGGCAGCATCTGATCGGTCACCGAGGGACGGCTCCAGAGGGCCCCAAGGGACAGACAGGATTCACCTTGGGCCGCTCGCTAAGGATTCGAGCTAATCTCGCAGGCGCGGTAGCAGATTGGCTCCTTCCGTAGTTTTGCCTCAGGCTTCATAAGCAACTACAAGAAAAAATAGAATCTACTCTAAAACGGGACAGAAATCCCAAATCACTCATACTACCAACAGTGTCACTCCTCAGCTGATTCAAAGGCAAGAGTATTCTAAGGATACACCACAGAAAAGGGAGGGAAAGAAGTGTAAGGAAGGGAGAGAGAGAGAGAGAGAGAGAAAGAGAGAAAGAGAGAGAGAGAGAGAGAGAGAGAGAAAGAAAGAAAGAAAGAAAGAGAGAGAGAGAGAAAGAAAGAAAGAAAGAAAGAGAGAGAGAGAGAGAGAGAGAGAAAGAGAGAAAGAGAGAAAGAGAGAGAGAGAGAGAGAGAAAGAGAGAAAGAGAGAGAGAGAGAGAAAGAGAGAGAAAGAAAGAAAGAAAGAAAGATAAAGAAAGAAAGAAAGAAAGAAAAGAAAAGAAAAGAAAAGAAAAGAAAAGAAAAGAAAAGAAAAGAAAGAGAGAAAGAGAGAGAGAGAGAGAGAGAGAGAGAAAGAAAGAAAGAAAGAAAGAAAGAAAGAAAGAAAGAAAGAAAGAAAGAAAGAAAGAAAGAGAGTTGGTGATTGTTTTCTGCTTCAGGCCACGCCAGTGCAAGTTGGGTTTTCCCACGGAGCAGGAGTTGGGGCTGGGCAGCAGGAGGAGATGCAGGAGGAGATGCGGGAGGAGATGCAGTCTCACGCACACGCACGCCCCGCGTGGGCGCAGCGGCTGTCACCCGCGGTGCCTGGCACAGCAATAGGCGCAATAAAACTACACGGGGTGGGGGGAAAACAATGACCTCTGAGTATTTCAAACAAATCTCCGCCGCCGCCCGTCTTCTCCAGGAGCCGGTGTAAATTCGCGGCAGGAGCGGGCAGCGGCCGGAGGACGCCCCTTTCTCTGGCAGGGCTCCGCTGCTCGGAGGCCAGCGCACCTTTGTGCTCCAGCGCCGAGGGCCGGGCCGCTGCCTGCCCGCTCCGACGGCCGGGCAGGGCAGGGAAGGGGCGCCCAGCCCCGCATCCCGCCCATCCCCGCCCCATCGGGGCGCCCCGGGCCGCGCTGGCGGCCGCGCAGCGCGCACGTGTGGCAGCCACAGGTGCCGCAGCCCCGGGGCTCGGTGCCGCTCGCTATAAGAGCGGCCCCGCCGCCGCCGCCCCGGCGAGACGGGCGAGGGCTGCGGGAGATGCAACAAGGCGCGGGGAGGCAAGGACCGGGGGCGGCGGGAGGAAAAGGAGGAGGAGGAGGAGGAGGAGGAGGAGGAGGAAAAGAAGGAGGAGGAAAAGGAGGAGGAGGAGGAGGAGGAGGAAGGGGGGGAGACAGCTGATGTCTGTCAAAGCCGGAGCCGCCGCGCTCTCGCGAGAGCCCGCCCGGCGGTAGCCACGGGATGCGGGGCTCAGGTGCGGGCAGAGCGCAGCGCAGCGCGCCCGGCGCCGGGCAGCGGCAGGCACAGAACTGAGCCAGGGACGGAGGGAGGGAGCAGGGACACGGCGGGGGCCGGAGGGAGCCTCGCCGCCCGCTCGCCCACCCAGCCCAGCCTCGGCCACCGCGGCAGCAGCGGCGGCGGCGGCGGGGGCAGGGTCCGCTGCGGCACCGCCGCCACCGCCGGCTCCGCCACCGCCACCCGCCGCTGTCGGCGGCTTCCCCGGCGGCAGGAGAGAGCCCGGAGAGCACTTTTCCCCCGACTTTAGGAGTGTTTGTGGATTTACATGCCAAGCCTTCAAGATGATGTCCATGAACAGCAAACAGCCTCATTTTGCCATGCATCCCACCCTACCTGAGCACAAATACCCCTCTCTACACTCCAGCTCGGAAGCAATAAGAAGAGCATGTCTACCAACTCCACCGGTAAGGGACAGACAGCTGCAGCTCTCTTCTTTCTTTCTCTCCCTTACAAGCACACACTTTTCTTTCTTTCTCTCTCTCTCTCTCTTTCTGTATACTGCATGTATGTGTATGTGCATTAATAAAAAAACCGCTGCGAGGCACATTTTGACAAGCGGCGCTTAATGTTTTTTTCATGTCTTCCTCTGCAATCATCTGAGCGCCTGTGATCTTTTTTGAAAGCGGTGTTCACACGAGTCTCCGACTTCATCCACTTTCTGTATTAATTTTTATGACTCGGCCTCTGAAAAGGAATGCGTTTTATGTGCTCTTGTGTTTGACACAATTCCCCAGCTGAGAGTTACAGATCCATTTCTTCTCTTTCTTTCTCTTCTCCTTTCGTTCCATTCCCCCCCCCGCTTTTAATTTTTTAATTTATTTGTTCCTTTCATTCCTTCCTTCCTTCTATCCTTTTCCGATTCCCCCTTGCTTCCTTACCTTTCTACTCTTTGCTTCTTTTCCCGTTTTGCTCCCTCTTCTCGCTTCCTCCCCCTCCCATCCCCCCATTATTCTGCCACATCCCCCTGTTTCCCCTCACTTCCCCGGGCTGTCGCCTTCCGTACCACGCTTCCCCCAATATCTTGGCTCGATCCCACACTTCCCTTACACGCCGATCCTCCTGCCGCCTTCCCGGCCGTCACCCTAACTTTGCCCACCTCTCTCTGCCCTCCCTCGGCTTCCCCCCTCCTTTTCCACATCTCTCCCGCAACCCCGCGCTGTCCCCCGCCCGTTCCCTTCCCCCTCCGCACTTTGCCCCCTCTCTGCCCCCTTGCCCTCCTCTCCCCGCACCCCGCTCTGTTTTGTGTCTCCCGCAGCTGCAGAGCAATATCTTCGCCAGCCTCGATGAGACCCTGCTGGCGCGGGCCGAGGCTCTGGCCGCCGTCGACATCGCCGTCTCGCAGGGCAAGAGCCACCCGTTCAAGCCCGACGCCACGTACCACACCATGAACAGCGTGCCCTGCACCTCCACCTCCACCGTGCCCCTGGCGCACCACCACCACCACCACCACCACCACCACCAGGCGCTGGAGCCCGGCGACCTCCTGGACCACATCACCTCCCCGTCCCTGGCGCTCATGCCCGGCGGAGGCGGCGGCGGAGGCGGCGGCGGCGGCGGCCACGACGGGGCGGGCGGCGGCGGCGGCGGGGCCGGCGGCGGCGGGGGCGGCGGCGGCAGCGGCGGCGGCGGCGGCGGCCTCATCTCCACGTCGGCGCACCCGCACTCGCACATGCACGGCCTGGGCCACCTCTCGCACCCGGCCGCCATGAACATGCCGTCGGGGCTGCCGCACCCGGGGCTGGTGGCCGCGCACCACGGCGCCGCGGGGCAGGTGGCCTCGGCCGCGGCCGTGGTGGGGGCGGCCGGCCTGGCCTCCATCTGCGACTCGGACACGGACCCGCGGGAGCTGGAGGCCTTCGCCGAGCGCTTCAAGCAGCGCCGCATCAAGCTGGGGGTGACCCAGGCCGACGTGGGCTCGGCGCTGGCCAACCTGAAGATCCCGGGCGTGGGCTCGCTCAGCCAGAGCACCATCTGCCGCTTCGAGTCCCTCACGCTGTCCCACAACAACATGATCGCCCTCAAGCCCATCCTGCAGGCCTGGCTGGAGGAGGCCGAGGGCGCCCAGCGGGAAAAAATGAACAAGCCCGAGCTCTTCAATGGGGGCGAGAAGAAGCGCAAGCGGACTTCCATCGCCGCCCCGGAGAAGCGCTCGCTGGAGGCGTACTTCGCCGTCCAGCCCCGGCCCTCCTCCGAGAAGATCGCCGCCATCGCCGAGAAATTGGACCTCAAAAAGAACGTGGTGCGGGTTTGGTTTTGCAACCAGAGACAGAAGCAGAAACGGATGAAATTTTCCGCCACTTACTAGGGGCGGGCGGGAGGGGCGGCCCCGGCACCGGGGGCACCGGGGGGGCCGGGCCGGGGCCGCGGGGACGCCCACGCACCGCCACCGTCGCCTGAGACGCCGGGGAGGCTCCTGGGGACCAAGGGACGATGTCGAAATTAAACGCGAACTACTCGGGGAGAGGGGGGGGCGAGCGTGTGGGGGGCTGCGCTATCAATTATTAAAACAAAAAAGACACCGGGACACCAACGAGAAGAAGGAGGAGAGAGGAGGTAAAAACGTTCTGGAAGCCCAGGGGGGTCATTTGTGCGGCCCTCTCCCCTCTCTGCCCCCTAGCCCCCCGACAGAAAGCGGGAGAAAGAGCAACTTAAAGCGTAAACACACACAGACACACACCAATAAATACCGTGACAGCAACAGCCACACACCGAGAAACCTAAGTCACAACTTTCCGAAGGAAAACAAAACCGACCAACAAACCCGGAAGGCGAAACTGTTGGTGATGATGATGCTACGTTTGGTTTGGGTCTCTTTTCATTACTTTCTGCTTTTTTTTCTTTGCCCTGGCTTAGTATGAGGACAGCGGTGGTTTGGTGCGGGGGAACTTTTTCTTTAGTTGGCTTGGGTTTGGGGTTTTTTTGTTTGTTTGTTCTGATCTTTATTTTTCTTTGTTGTTTTGGGGGTTTTTTCCTGTTGTTTTTCATTTTCCTTCGAACGCGGTTTTGCGCGAGGCTTTGGCGATGGGTCTTGTCTGTGCCGGGGGAACGGTGAGAGCAGGGCAAGGGCCGGGAGCGGGGGAGCGGCCCCCCGAGGCTAGGGAGCAGCCCCTTTCCTCTCCTTTGTTGCCTCAATAATCCTGGCTAGCTCAAGGAATACAAGGGGAAAAAAAAGTTACCCCACAACCCCTTTGTCTCTCCTCCCTCGCCTGCGTGGTTTGCGTTTCCAGCTGTGTCCAAAGACGGGTCCCTCTCTCTGCAGAGATGCATCTGGAGGCAGATGCCAAACCTGCCAGAGCGGGGATGCTCTCCAAAAAATTATGTTCAGACTCATTAGGGCTCATGGTTAACTATGTTCTTTCTCCTCCCTCCCTCCCCGCTGCTCCCGACCGCATGCCCCCCGGCATCCCCACCGAATCTGCGGGATTTGGGTTAAGGTCCCCCCTTGGTTTCCTCCAAGGGCTGGAGGTTATTGCACCCGGTAGGCAAAAGAAATCACCGGTGATGGGTTTGGAACGACATTTGTTTCTGAGGGAGGTGCATGTTGGGAACAAACACACGACAAAAAAAACACTTGGGCTTAAAAGTCGTTTATTGTATACCATAAACGTTACGTGGAGGAAGGCTTTTGGAAAGGGTGTGTGGGGTTCAATTTGCACTATCACAGTCTCCTGGATTGGAAGCGATGATGTTATTCTCTAATAACCATGCTGGTATTGCTAATAATCGCCAAGATGCGTTACATGTCTCACGGATTGAAAACAAACAAAATGATCAGGGCTTGATAGGTAAAAAAGAGGGTGACGTGCAGAAGCCATCTCTGACTCTGTCTCTTGCCGAGAGGCTTTCGAATAAAAAAAGAATTTCTGGAAAGAAAACACCATTCCGTTTAAATCAAAACAATCAACAGACTGAAATTATGCATGACATGACCCGAAAAAAAAATTAAAAAAGAAAAAAAAAAAGAAAAAAAGAAAAGGAAAAGAAAAGAGGGGGGAAAAGGCATAGAAAGATCCGTGATAAAGTCTCGATATTATTTATCTATTTATTTATCTATTTATTTTATTAATATTATTATTATTTTGTGTATCATTGTTTGCAGCGCAAACATTCTATGCATTTTGAAACTGAGCACTAAATAGACTAGCTTCTGGTAGAATCTTTTGTGGATGGTGTAATTTCACAGTTTAACTGCCTGTTTTCACCGAAAACACAAACGTTCTTGTCACGTTCTTGTATTTAGATTTAAAAGAGGGGGAAAAAAAAGAAAAAAAAAGATAAGAAAGACGATTGTAAATATTTTCTTTAATGCACAAAACAACAACAACAACAACAACAACAACAAAAGGTTACAAACTGCAACCACGTGTGGATCCTGAAATGTCTCACTGAATAATCTACCTGTCCATGTATGTTTGCTGAGCTTTCTCCTTGGTTGTGTCTTTACTCTATTTAATTTCTATCAGAAATATTTCTGTACGCCAAAATACAACAGGGAGATGTGTCCCAGCATACTTACAAATAAAACAAACGTAAAAACAGAATAGTTATTATTATCATTATTGGGTGCATTTAAAAAAAAGAAAAATATTTCCACGGCTGGTAAATTCAAGGTATGGCCGTTAGGCGATAAAACTAATTCTACCAAAAAGAAAATAATGAGAGATGTATTTTTCTGCTAAATCCAGAAATCATTACTTTGAGATAGCTCTTATGTGAAAATCGGTGCTCTGAATAAAATTAAGTATATATTAGCTGCGTGTGTTTCTTGAAGTTTATTCTATAACTGCAGAATATAAATCAAAGTAAAATTTTAAGAAGGACTTCTGAAGTATTTCTTTTCAGTGTGCTGGAAAGGATTATGCACCTACAAAATATGTATAAAGAAGAAAAGCTTGGGTGGTTTCAGGTTTATATGTTGTTCTGACTGGCCTAATTGCACTTAATTATGTATCAAGATACTTTATTTTTATTTTGGGTTAATAAATATGAAAATCCTAAACTGATCTCTCCTTATGTTGTGAATGCAATTGTTCATTAGGAACGTATAGGATGCCACCTACTGCTTCAAGTGATCAAAGAACCTCTTTCTATTTTCTGATGACCTGTGACTAGATCAGATGCCAAATGTAAAAAGTTACTTAATAGCTGGGATTATTTCTTCTGTAGGCATATTTTAGCCAAATCTTTTTAATTTTGCCGGTAAATCTGTGAACCAAGACACGTGATGTTCAGAAAAGAATAATACGTTTAAAAAAGCTGTGATTTTAAACAACTGTTGATGTTAAAAAATAAGCACTAAAGGTATTTTTAAAAAAACCCATAGATCTCGTCCACCGGAAATTTACTTGTTTCTGTTGTTATTAACCTGAAATGTCATCAGAATTTTTAATAAATGCATTTGTAAAAATATTATTTTATAGAAAAGTATTACCGGATTTCATTTTTTGGAGAGTCAGGAATGAACAAATAAAAATAATTACAAATGCTGGGTTTTCTTTTTCCTCTGCCCCAAATGATTGAAATGTTGAAAGTGATACCACATTTGTATCATTCAGTAATGACCGATGTATGTATTGAAAAGTTGAGGAGTTTGTTTTGTAATAAGTACAATCCTTATCGAGTACAAAGAAAAAAAAGTATGTTAATAAAACAGATGGTGGAAAAAAAAAAAAAAAGCTTTGCAGAGTTTCCTATTTTTCATGGTAGGAAACTGTGCAAAACCAAAAAACGTCCCGCTTCCTGTCGGATGAATCTGAATAGTTCATAAAGCCGCAAAATTCTCGTGAGGCTTTTTAAATAAATGCAAAGAAAGAGGGAAAGAGAGAAAGAGAGAGAGAGAGAGAGAGAGAGAGAAAGAAAGAAAGAAAGAAAGAAAGAAAGAAAGAAAGAAAGAAAGAAAGAAAGAAAGAAAGAAAGTAAGTTAGTTTAAAGGGTTTAACCAAGGACTAATAAAACTTTTGCATCCGAGGGAAAAAGTAAGATAAGAGACGAAGAGGCAGAGCATGTGTTGGCATTTATTCCCCCACAGTGCGCAGCTTCTCGCATAGAGAAGAGCCATTTGTGGCCAAAAAGATGTAGAAATCCCCCCAGTGCCCGTGTGCCAGGGCCGAGGCCGCTGCCGGGCGGCGGCTCCGGCGATTCCTGCTCTCCATCCTGCGCCCCTTGCCGCTGAGCGCTTCGCTGCTGTCATCCCTTGAACGGCCTTTCCTCCACAGCCGAGGTGCCTCGCCGCTCTCCTTGTGTTTCCTAGCGCGCTTTTCCAGTCCTAAGTCTGCTAGACGCGGTTTGGCTCCCGGAATTTGTGCCTAACACTTGCTCTCCGCTTGCTTTCAACTTAGATTAGGCCATCATAAGTGAGTAACAGACACCCACTGCCACGGTCGTATTGATTTTTACTCTCCTGTGATATTAAGACTAATTCGGTCCTGGTTCAACAAGTAAAAAGGCTTCCCAGAAGGAGAATGAAGTGTCCTACAGCACTGACTTTATGGTTTATGTGCCTCCCTCCCCGCCTCCCCGTGTTACCCCTTTCCTCCGAAGAGAAATAGATTTGTCGAAAGATAATTATTTTAACTCTGACGGACTCGAGCGCATAAAGCTTGATAGCGCCGGTGGTGCCCTGTGTTATTCTGGCATTTCCCAAACGATTTTAAATCCCTCCAGTTATTTATATCTCGCTTTTCAGCCGGCGCTATTTTTTTTTTTTTAAGCTTTATTATATTTACCTGCTGATTCCAAAGCGGAGGCAAGCCTAATTGATTTTTAAAAGATCAGCAGCAGAATTCTAATCCGCTTGGGAACCTGTTTCCACCTGCCAGACGAGGGTCTGATTACGGGTAATTATGTTATTTAAGGGTTGATGAAACCGCGGGCCCGGCGCTGCCCGGCTCCCTTCCTGGCGCGGCCGGGGCGCGCAGGGGACGCGCGGGGAGCGCGGGCGCGGCGGGGCCGCCGCCGTCACGTGCGCCGCCGCAAACACAATTACGGGGCCGCCGTTAATAATTCATGGGCTGAGATTTGGAAAATTAATAAAATGAATTATAACAAGAGGCTAATTAAAAACTTTAGTAATTGTTGTCAAGACAGCTTGATGGGAGGCGGGCTGCACGACGCTTCCCCCCCCACCCCCCCCCCCCCCCTCCCCTTCCCTTCCTTCCCCGTTCCGCTTCTGGGAAGCTTTTCCTTCTTCCTCCTTTGCCACCCCTTCGCACCTGAAGGAGGCTCGGTTTGGGAGAAAGGCACTGGGTGAATATATAGGTCAGCTGAATACATAGGTCCCAGAGATGAGACCGAGGTGGTAAAACT